ATCTATGAAATGCCATTTTCTTTCAAATAAACATTCTTCTTAACCATCTCCTTCTTCTTCTTCTGTTCCCATTCAGCTTTTTCCATTTTCCGTCATCGAAACTGTTTTCTCACCACATGAATAATCGTTCAAAGCCATTCCATGCAGTCGCAAGCCGAGTCATACCATTCAATTGACATTATATAAAAGATAAATTCATATTTTATATTCCATTTTCGAAGTTCAAGACTACATTCATAACTGATGGCAAGTTTTTTGAAACGTTATCTATCATTCGAGCAAAAGTATAAGTTTGAACACATAACTGTTCATCCGCAGATTATTAAATTCATTGCATTCATAAATGAGTCATTGACACTTGAGCGTTGTGTAAGACAGGCATTTTACGCAATTGCGTACGACCTTCATATCTCCTCTCACCTTTGTACTTAACAAAATTAAAATTCCATTCTTCCTTCTCATTAACATGACAATACCAATAAAATAAAGAACATTTTAGAACATTCATTCAATTTCATTTACATTAAATTGTTTCGCAAAATTATTTTCGTTGATGACACTGGTAATCGATTGATTGGATTACAAGTCGGTCATGAGTTTAGCTGTCGTATATCAAAATGTAATTCTGTTTCGTTGAATGTTTGTTCATCTTCTTCTATTTTGATTCTATTTTGACTATTATTATTTATAATTCATATGCTTCAGTGATCTTTTGAGCAAAAAAACATAATTTTTATTGTTTGAATGAAAAATCGTCTGTGTTTGCTTAGTGGAGTATCGATTATTGAATGTGGTTGTGAGTAGCATCCATACAAGATAACAGTATGGACGAAAACGTTGATTGGGAATTGGAACTTGTGAAAGACATCAGTAGGTGTGTATTGAATCATTTTTGTTTTTTTTTTTTGTAATTTCTATCTTATCATCAACTACATTCCAATGCTATCCAGGAAAATATATGAAGAACAACAGAAGAAAGATGACCTTATCAAGTTTGAACCTGTTACTTATCTTAGTGAAGAACAAAAGAAGAAAGTGGAGGAGATTAAAAATTTAATGAAACAGCAGCCATCAAGGTGTGTAGTCTATTTTAATGTTAACGCTTTATTCAGTTCATTAAGTTCAAATCAAGCGTCTGATCGAAGCAACAACGCCTTTCCCCCCGCTCAATTTCAACATAATACTTGTCATCCTGTTCAAAAACATAATTCTTTGAGTAATTTATCAAGTGAGCCTTTATTTTCACACTTTTATTTTATCAATATTTTAGGTTACACGGGCCAGAAACCAATGCAGCTGCAAAAACAGAATAGCTTCACGTCTGAGAGCTGTCCACCACCACCGTTATTTCCTCGACTCAGTTCTTTACCATCAATCAAGCTGCCGCCTCCCCCATTACCTCCAAGATCTAAACCACGCTCCGGGACTATCACTATTCCTCAATCAGAGAATAATGGCTCTGACTTAATAGGATTCTCTGAATCAGTTCCAACCCGTTGTGATCTATCGCTATCTACCATCATACCAAGGAGAGATGAACACAGGAGCAGTAAGTAGTATACTATTTTATAAAATTCTATGTTATTCTTAGATACTCCAACCAGTTATTCGGAGCTAGTGCCAATGAAGCTGTATCAGCCGTAAGTTTACCTCTTCGAACGATTTGAAATACAATATCATAAATACAGAATACCTGGACCAGCACCATTCAACTCAGACTTGTATGTTCCGTTTTCAACAATATCTGAAGAATACAATCGGGAGTTGGAGGAAAAGCCTGTTCCGGAGCCAGTGCAAGAATCTGAAAAGATAGTGGTTCATAATTTTATAGGGAACTTGACTAAATAATTGAATAATTTTCAGATGAGTCCTGACTTCAATCCATATTTCAATTTCAATATGGAGGTCATAGAATCAACTCCGTTCGAAGAGGTTATGCGAACATTCAACAAGCGATCGAGCATCAGCGAAAAGCTTTTTCGACCTACTGATGGTTTGACTGATGAAGTATGTTATGATGAGCAATAATTTTAAATGTTTTCAAATGATTCAGCAAGCATACATCAGCGGTTGGTCTTTTGAACCCGATTCAAACAGTGTTTATGGAATTGCATCAGCAACAACTAATTATCCTTTGACGAAAGTTTCAAGTATCAAAATTGTGATCAAAAGTGACAAAACGTAATTTCATATAAGAAAAAAAGTAGAATTTCATCATTTTCTTTTATTCAGAATGTCAGTCGCACGCGAAATCCAGACCGTTTGTTCAATTAACTTGAGATTTGAAGAATTAATAATA